ACCCAGTAACAGTAGAATTAGAATTACCCAAAAATCTCAGGCAAATACACCCAATTCTTCACTGCAGTTTGCTGAAAAGAGAACACCCTTATGGCCAAATATCCCCCCACCACCACCTCCAATCATGGTGGAAAGAGAACAACACTTCGAGATAAAGGAAATCCTAGACTCTAGGAAATATAATGGGGCAACTCAATATCTAGTAGCATGGAAACACCTCCCCACCTCACAAAACAAGTGGGTCCATAAACATCATGTCAGAGTCCCGAAGCTATTAAAGAAGTTTCATACAGAGTATCCTAACAAGCCAGACTAACTTTTGTACCGGTTTTGATTCCTTTACAGGTGATCTCTCTTATTTTTAAGGGGGGCAGGATATCAGAATCCAATTATATTTCATTTTTAGCTACCTACTCTGATAAAAACCCATTTCTTACTCTCTCTGGATTCTGTCATACTACGAAAGGGGAGGAGGATAAGCAAGGGGGTTTTATGACTCTCACTTCCTTCATTAAACTACAAAGTGACTGGATGTTGATTCTTATCAAGAGGACTGACCATAACAATATGGCCATCGCCTTTCATCTGCTATCTCTGAAGTCTCCCTTTTGCCGGCAGTGAGGGAAAAGGGGGGAACAATGCAACGCCTGGGATCTGGGAAAAGAGATTGTCGCCTGGAAGAACTGTGGAGTGGGGGCTGCTTGGGAACACTTTGAAACATTGAAGGATGGGAGAGAATTCCCCAGATCCTGTCTAGCATGCCTGCAATCATTTTCTCTTAATAAAGATGCCTGTTGGAAGAAACATTCCAAGAGTTCTGTCTTCTTAAGATGTAAAGTGAGGTGGGTCCTTACACAAACTCTGCAGCGAGTGGGTAATCAAACAGATTGCAACCAATTTAGCCAACAACTTTGTCGTCCAAAAGGTAGAGGAGGGAACTAGAAGTAAAGCTATACTGGACCTATTTTTTACTAATAGAGAAGAAGTGATTGAGGGAGTTGAAATTGCCGGAACCTTGAGGGAAAGTGACCACGTCATACTGGAATTCAATATAATGCAAACACAAACAACAGAAAATAATTTAACCAATGTCTTAAACTTTAAAAGAGCTGATTTTAACAAACTCAAAGACAATCTACAAAAAGATTCCATGGATGAAAATCCCATTCTGTTCTGTGCTATTCTACAGAATTGAGATTAGTTTTGATTCATATATCCATATGACTCACCTAGTTACACAATGGTTCTTACATTTTTTCTTCTTTTAATTTATTCCCATATTCCCAAACCACATCATATTGTGAGTTTAGGATTCTGCATATACTACTGGATCATCTGACTATTATGCCATTCTTGCTAAATGGAAACCTGACAGATTACTTACTATCCTCCTGCATAAAGACTCTAAGGCTGGATTTTCCTATGCAAAAATAATAGAAAAATTATTGATAAAAACTTTTGGAACAACTACAGTTGTGAAGTTTGGAAGAGGTCATCATTCTCTCATAGAGAATTCTTACTTTAAATTCTTTTGATGCATGCCTTGAGCCAAACAACCTTCAAACCTTGGTTCCTAAAGCAAGGGTGCTCTTCCTTGAAACAGCAGATCAGAAGTGCTGCATTGCTTTTACTTTGTATTCTCCAGCTGTCTCTTCCAATGTATCTAATGCATGCCACAAGTCCACAAATCTTAAAATTGTCAAGGTTGAGAAATACTAGTATAAGAAAATGGATAAGATAATTCTTAGTCAAATGACATCAACTGCGTATATGCTGAACTTTTCATCTTGGTTAAGATACCAGAGGAAATGTGGTCAAGTAAGTAACAAATGCTTTTACATAGAAAGGAAATATGTGGATTTAAGGAATTTCTTTCTGGAGTCTAAAATTTTGGAGCTAATTTGCAAATTTTGAACAGGTTTCTTAAATTTGGAATCCACAAATTCATCCTCAAGCCTAAGTTTAGAGGTTTGATCATCTTAATACATGAATGGGTAATATTTTGATTGATTCCCAATCTTTTGGATTATCAAACCCGAAGAAGAGGACAATATTTTTTAGTACATACAATCCATGGTCCATAGGATACTCTTTTATGCCTATAAAATGAATCAGATGGAAAATCATGCACATATGTTTTTTTTTTTTTCCCCCAGGAAATTCAACAATTGCAGTTACAGTCAGGGACAATCTGAAATTTGACAAGCCAATGAATGGTTTGACTTTCTGCCTGATTTTTTTTTCACAAAAAGTAATACCTTTATTTATAAGAAAGCCTGAATAATATATGCAGTATAATGCAGTATTTACTTTAAGAAAGTATAATTGCTTGTACCTTCATATTGAACGTGATTCTCAGATTTGTCAAGTTTAAGAAAGAAAATGTTACTTAGTAGTAATAACATTTAAAAGGATGTTATGTAATCAGCCAAGTTGGTTTTTTAAAAGTTGGTTTAAATATCAATAAACATCTGAATGCTATTTGAGTATATCCTTTGGGAATATATCTGAAACAGCTATCAGAGTTTCCACTTCAAACTTCAGTTCTTGTAGTCTGTAATCCATTCACATTGAGGTTTCCAATGGAAACATAACTGGGCATGTATTTCTATGTTGTGGATAAAACATGCTGCTGACCATGCTTGTTACTTGCTTGGTAAACTTTAATTTTATTCCGAGAACCCACAGAGAATTGGATAGCTGGATTATAAACCATTAAATGTTGATTCCATATAGATCATTCATATGCAAATTGATGCCATTTGGAGATGAAAATGTAGCATGTTTTCCTCCTTTACTACTGCTGCAAATCTTTGACCCAAATTGATACAGCTATGCATGATTTCTGTAGAGTGGGCATTCATATAATTGTCAATTCAACATTTTAAACAACCAAAGGTAGACTATGGGCAATATCCAAGTTTTTTAAAAAAATTGTATTGATTTGTATTAGCAACATGGTTATATGAAACATTTCTGAATAAGAGTTTTTCTAAGCTATTTTTCCAATATAAAAAATAATCATGGTAAAGAATTGATTTACTATATAAGAATAGAAGCATATATTATGTTGTGTGTTTTTACCATGATAGAATATGTGTTTACCATGGTTACTATTGAATGAATCAGAATAGAGCTAGAAGGGACCTTCAAGGTCTTCTAGTTCAACCGCCTACTCAAGGAGGAGACCCTATACCATTTCAGAAAAGTGACTGTCTAGTCTCTTCTTAAAAATCTCCAGTGATGAAGCACCCACAACTTCTGATGGCAAGCTGTTCCAGTGGTTAATTGTTTTCCCTGTTAGGAAGTTTCTCCTTAATTCCAGGTGGCTTGTCTTCTTGATTAGTTTCCATCGTTCTGCCCTCTGATGCTTTGGAAAATAAGTTGACCCCGTCCTCTTTGTGGCAACCTCTCAAATATTGGAATACTGCTATCATATCCCCCTTAGTCCTTCTTTTCTCTAGACTGGCCAAACCCAAAATCTGCAACCATTTTTCATATGTTTTTATCTCCAGGCCTTTAATCATCTTAGTTGGTCTTCTTTACACTTTCTTCAAAGTCTCAACAACTTTTTTGTAATGTTTGTCTGCCTCACTGCTTTCAGCCCCTGCTAATCTGTGTTGCTCTCAGTTGTTGCTGCTCCTCTGTCACTTAGTTCTGCACAGCTGCTGCTTAGAGTCCACCACACTGTTCTCAGCTGCTGGTCTGCTGCCATCTAGCTCTGTTTCACCTCTGCTCAGTGGCCTCTGTTTGAACCTTACTGCCTCCACTCAGTTGGCAGGCTGGGTCGCTGGGCTGCCTCTCCATCTCTCACCTGGGCTGCTGGGCTCTCAGTTGGGATACTGGGCCACCTCACAACTGAGTCACCTCTCAGCTGTGATGTCTCTCGCCTCACTTTTTCAATATGGCACTTAATCAGAAATAAATATGCTTCATAGACCATGATACATTTTTTTCAGTTTATTGTTGCAGTACAGTAACAGACTGTACTCCTGCAATCTTTTCAATTTGTATTTTAGTACATGAATTTGAAAATCTATTGTTGAGTATAGGCGGAGTATAAATATTTGAATAAATAAACAGAACATGGTGGCCTCATGAATGAATATTTATAGCATGGACATGGTCAGTTACTTTTCACTGTTGAAAAACATTAAGGCTCCTTGTGATAAAAGTTTTTTAAAAACTTGCTCTAAAAATTGTATTCTTTTCTAATGCTTCAATAAACAAATTTTAAATGAACATTACAATAATCCCAGAAGAGCTTTTATCTCCCTGTTCCTCACTGGGATCCTGAATACCTTGAAATAAGTGAATAATCTGGAATGAATTAAGAATAGTGAAGCAGCCAAAAATTAACTATCCCAGAATAGTAGTTAAAATATGTTTTATTTTGCCACATTTCTAAATATTCTCTATATAAATGAGAATGTGATCGAGGAGCTTATTAAAATGCGTATTTAAGCAATATATTTTGGGACAATCTATACTTTTTATATGGCTATGAATTATAAATATTAGTTACTCTGTTTCCAGTTATTGGATGGTCAGTATCAAATTTAAGGTTACTTCCATACATTTAAATAGACTGTAATTGAGACAGGTACAGAAATGAAATTTTCACTATGTCAATATGTCCTTTGCAACAAGTAATACAAATACATAAGGTTGGTATTCTGCCAAAAAGGGGAGAGAATGATTTAAAAAGTCATTTTATTGTTTTAATACAAATTATTAGATTGATACATAATATCAATTTATGTTCCAAGATTAAATACTGCTGCATTTGAGAGTGATACTTGATTTCACAATTTTTGTGTATTTTATATACAATATAATTAATTGATATAAGAAATATTTATATTATTTTTAATAACTATAGGCAGTTCAGAAATTATTTTACTGATTTATCTTTAGAAAGCTTTATTTTTAGGAGTTTTTGACTTCTATATGAAATTTAAATTTAAAAGGCTGTTACAGATTTTTTTTCTGATTTATAGATAAAAGACAATGGTGAACTTATTGTCAAGAATGCTCAGTTGCGGCATGCTGGAAGATACACATGTGTTGCTCAGACAATTGTTGATAATGCTACAGCTTCAGCTGATCTTGTTGTGAGAGGTAAAATATTTTCTTGATTTTTTTAAAATTTAAGCTATTCCAACATTATTCATTATAACACTATCACATAAAATTTGGGGAGCGGATGTATAGGATTTCCAACAGGAGTTAACAACATATAAGTATCAGATATTCCTGTTCCCAGAATTAATCATCTCTAAAAATATGACCAAGGAAAGCCAGTCTCACAATTATATTTCACTTTCCAAGTTCCAATAATTTGAAAAGAATTTTGAAAGTTTATTCCAGCTGGGCTTTAACAGAAAGACATGGTGGACTAAAGACAGCTCTACAAAAATCAGAGTCAACAACTGTGGTGGAGTGAAGAGCCAGTGAGTAGACCACCTCTCTGATAATTCTTCTCCAGAAAAAGAGAGGATTTGAGATCACCCACAAGTACTCCAGACAGCTGCTCCTCACAAAGACAATGCAAGACAGCAGTCTCTGGCAAGTTTAGAACTCAGGGAGATGAAAAAGTGGCCATCTTGCTCAAACCATAGTTAGCATCCTTCAAATATACTAACTTTAAATACTTATTTTTCTAATCACTTTTTAAAACTGAAACTTTTGGAAAATTATAGAAATGCAATAGTGGCAAATATCTGTAGCTTGCGTGTAGGATGAGGGTGAAAGTTCATTCTCCAAGCTTGTGGGTTGGTTTCTGAACATTTCGTTACCAGGCTAGTTAACATCTTCAGTGGAGTTTAGGGGATGTCATGTCAGTATTCTGTTTATAAAGGCTTAAAGTGTGGGTGTGTCAAGTGAGGATCTTGTGATGGGTCAGGTATAAATCATCAATGAGAGGTTTGTGATGGGTCTTGAGATATGGAGATTACATCAGGTCAGGATCATTGGAAGGTGAACTGCAGGTGGGATGGGAAGGGGGGCTCCATGGGTTGGTTAAGGGTCACTGCTGTCTCTGCAGTTGATTTGGATTCTGAGGGGTTCATAGTTGTAGGCTGAGGTGTCTGTTGATGGAATTGCTTGTAAAGTACCATACTTTGATGAACTCATGAGTGTGGCAGGTGGTAGCGTGGCCGATGATTTTAGTGCTTCTCCAATCAAACTGGTGTTGTTTGGTGTTGGTGTGGGTAGAGATTAAGGATTTGGGATCATGGCGTTTGACTGCTACCCAGTGTTCGTGGATCCTAGTTTTTAATTGATGTGATGTTCTCCCACATAGAATTAGTTGCAATCATTACAGTTTATTTTATAGATTACATTGTTTCTTTCATTCTTCTGTATCTTGTCTTTGGTTTTGGATAATTCCTGGAGGAGTGTGGCTGTGGGTTTGTGGGCTATTGCTATTCTAGGGTTTGAAGAATTTTGGCTGTCATTTCTGACACCCCTTTTGTGTATGTTAGAGTTAGTTTTTGTGTGGTGGTCGGCTGTGTGGTATGTTGTGGTTTGGGTGCTGTGTATCAGTATACGAATGTCAACACTACAAATGAGCATGGCTGCAGCCATTTTCCTTCTCATTCTAGGTTGCCACATAGAATGGAGGGAGGGGGGTTGCCCAGGTGTTTCACCAGTCAAAATAATCTTTTGTCCCGTGGGAATCAAGATCATTGGCTACTCCTGAAACTAGGGACTGGGCGTTTCATAAAAAGCCTACCAAATAATCATATTGAGGAACGTAGTTGTTTACATAGCTTTTTAACTTTGTAATGGGAAATTGTTACTTGTATATTCAGACTTGGTTTCACTCTTGATCGTGCTAATACTTTGTAACTAATAAACATATTTTTTGAGGAACTTGCAAGCCTTGGAGTTCTGCTTTATTCATCTCTGTTGGAATCATGACATTAAACCAAGTCTGATAAAACTTCATTTTCTCGGTGTGCTGGGCCCCGACCGTCTACCCACTCACTTTTGGGAGAGTGGTAAAGACTCAACGAAGATTTAAAATGGAGAAGAGTGAAATCACTGCTAGCTGCAATGGAACTCCAGCTGTCGGAGTGCAAACTGGTGCTCCAGCCACCGAGGAGTCATCACTGACAGGGACTCAGCCGAAAGCCAGGTTAATCCTGGAGACTGCTATTGCAGGAAGGAGCTACAATCCCGGTTGACCTCTATCAAGCCAAGGCTGTCCCTCAGTGCAGGAGCACTCCTGTAACCACTGGAGAGGAGCTTCTATTGCTACCGTCCCAGGGTTCATCATCTGTGGATAGCAAGAAAGGAAAGGGGTCAATGGGATGAGATGATTCCAGAGAGTTGAGGTTTCAGTCTGCAGACCACAGCCCCTTGCTCAAGCAGTTGAAAGAGAAGTTTGGCAGGCTAGAGGTAAAGGATATGATTCCTGTTTCCCAGGAGATGGGTGTCATGGGGGGGGGGAATGCCAAGAACTACCCATTGCTGGAGTCCCAGCCCAACCGCCGGAGCCCGTGCCACTTCACCCATTCCCCAGCCAGCTGTGATACCAAGCCCTGTATCCAAGCTAAGCCTGTTGCTGCAGCCTCAGGATGCCAGTCCCAGAGCCCAGCCAAGAGAAATCCAGAGAGTGGTTCGGCCACATCCCCAGGACCAGCAAGCTGCCCAAGCCCAACAGTAGATGCAGGCAGCTCCGCTGAGGTTTGAGCCGCCTTCCATCAAGCCCACCTTTGATGGGGACCCTGAGAAGCTAACCTTCTTCCTAAACCAGATGTGGGCTCATTTAGATTGCTAAGCTTATGCCTACCTGGATGAGGCTATAATGGTGAATCCTGTAGCGGCAAATTTAGAGGGGGAAGCAGCTGACTGGGTGACCAGCCTCCACGATGAAAGGGCTTCTGAATTGCATGATATTAATCTATTCATGGAGCAACTGAGGGGCCATTTTGAAGATGAATCCCAAGCCCTGCTGTCCGAGGAGATCCACCACCTGAAGCAAAGAGGTCGCCCCGCTAAGGAGTACGTTTGTGAATTCAAGAGAGTTGCTGGTCGGCTGGGGCAGTGGCAAGAACGGTCACTGATCAACTACTTCAAGCAGGGGCTAGATCGCAACTTACTTCAAGCCTGCATTATTCAGAGTTTTTCTAACCTATTGCATGAGTGGTGCAGCATGGCAGTGGTGCTGGACATCTAGTTGCACCACTCCAGAAAGGCAAGCACCACCAAGCTCAAACTGCCACACATCCAGGAGAAACGCGTTTATGGCTGACATTTCCAAGCCACTGAAGCCACCAGCGTCTCCCAAGTACCAGCCAGGGCTCCAGTGAAGTGCTACCGGTGCAGTCAGATGGGCCACTGTGCTGTGGAGTGCCCAGCTCCTAATCCTCAACCCAGGAGCTCGTCAGTCACCACTGCAAAGCCGTGAAAAACTCCCAGAGGGGGAAGAGAAAAATCAAATTGGGCACATCAGGACCCGAGTGGAGAGGCCTCCCCTCCCACTGAACTCAAGGCTAAAACCCGATCTGAGCCATAGCAGATGCTGGCACCTTACGACTGTGATGAGGAAGGTGAGAAGGACCCCATGGTGAGTCAGCCCATTCCCTCCTTTGCCATTCCTGCTAGGCTAATAGTGCCCAAACCAGAGGCCTGCATGAATTTGAACTTCCTAATAGACTCGGGGTGCACTTGGTGCTTAATTAACTTATCCACCGTACTCAAACTGGGCATCTGAGCCAAACTACTGCCTCTACCCATGAAGTTTGAGCAAGCTGACGGGTCCCTCATTGGAGGTACCCCTGCCATGCACCTAACAGAACCTGTGTATTTGGAAATGGGTCGGCATTGGGAAATCATCCGTTTTGTGGTGGTTCTGAAGGTGACTGAAGCAGTAATTTTTGGACTAACGTGGCTTGATAAATGGTGTATCAACATCTGGTGGGAGGAGGGAATGTGGAAGTTAAGACTGGGGACAGGACCCCTCCCACCTGCTGCTGACAATAAAATAAAGACACTAGCCATCAGCAAGATTCAGGGGGACCCCTGTAAAACCTTAAAGACTGTAGCCAAAAAGCTGCCGGGGATTCAACTTGTCCCCACAGAATACCATCATGTGAGTGATGTGGCTGTGGATGCCATTCTCTTACCAAAAAAACCACAGAGGGGAATTACAATCCTGTGCTTACACTTTCTGAAAATTAACTGACACTGAAAGGAGGTGTGATGTTTGGGAGAAAGAGGCTTTTGCAGTTTGTTGGTCATTACTAACATGGTGTCACTTCTTGGAAGGGGGTAAATACCTTTTGAGGTGTGGACTGATCACAAAAATTTGGAGGCTCTGAAAACCTCTCATAAATTATCCCCGAAACAAGCTTGCTAGGCTCAGTCCTTCAACCGTTTTAATTTCACTTTAAAATATTTTCCTGGGGGGTAAGAACTTTTTGGCTGACGCCTTATCTAGAATGCCCCATTTCAAGAGCCACCGAGAGTAAGTAATTAACTCCATTATTCCTCTGCCACAATTTGCTTCTCAAATAACAACCAAATTGCAAACACAAAGACCCCTTGCCAGCCTTGATGATTGCTTACTGAAGGAACTGATTCTTGGTTCAAGGACAACAAATCTATTTTAACCCTAAGGGGGGGACTAGTCTGGAAGGGCTTTAAGTTATACCTCCCAGATGGCCTCAGACTCCAAGCACTGCAACGGAGTCATGACGCTAAGCAGGTGGGTCACTTTGGATTTTTGAAGACATTGCATCTGGTGTGGAGGCAATTTTGGTGGCCAGGAATGAAAAAAGAGATTGAGAGTTATGTTAAGAGTTGTGCCACCTGTGCTGCCATGAAAAGGCATCCTGGAAAACCCCCAGGATTGTTGCAACAAGTTGCTGATCCTTCCCAGCCTTGGGAGGAGATAGCCATGGATTTTATAGTGGAGTTACCTGAGAGCAAGGGAAACACTGTAATATGGACTGTAATTGATCTATTTTCCAAATAGGCGCATTTCATCGCTTGGTCAGGACTTTCCTCTGCCCAGAAGCTAACCAAGCTGTTTTTGAAACACATACTCCATGGTGCCCCAAAGCAGATTATTTCTGACAGAGGGGTCTAGTTTACTGCAAAGTTCTGGAGAG